CACGTCTGCTTTAACTCAGTGGAATTCTTGTCACAAGACACAGAGGTGGAGACAAAGTGGTTGAAAGCTGCTATTTGTACTCATAAATCACATTCTTGAAAAAGTTCTGAAGCTAAGCACCATGGTGCATGCCTATAATCCCAACTATCTGGGAGGCTGAGGCAGGAGGATTGCAAATTGGAGGCCAGCCTGGGCAATTTCATGAGCCCTTGTCTCAAGCAAGAAACATGTGAAAGGTAGGGAATGTGGTTCAGTAATAGAATGCCTCTGGGTTTAGTCCTTGGATACACACACAATTTAAAACATTCTCAATTAGGCTAAAAGGAAAATTTAAAAATGTGGTTTTATATTTCATTATCTCTAGAAAATACTGATGGAATAAACAGGCAACACTTTGCTTTTTTTTTTTTTTTGTCTTTTTCGAGACAGAGTCTCTATGCAATTTGGGCAGGCCTTGAGCTCACTTTGTAGCCAGGCTGGTCTCGAACTTGCAAACAATCCTCCTGTCTCAGCCTCCCGAGGGCTGGAATTACAGGCGTGAGCCACCAAGGCTGGCCAACATTTTGCTTTTTATAAGACTTGCTGAGATCTTAAAGCAGATGTATCACACACCTATGCATTTTGAAGTTATTCCATATTCATTTTTCAGACATTAATAATTTAAAATTTTGTCCTAAATAAATTATACTTGATGTAAGTACAACAGCAATATTTTTATCTAGTACAGTACTTCCACATAATTGTTTCCTATTTATTTTTACTCAAAGCAATAGTTGAGTTGAAGTGTGTGTGACAATAGTTGAGTTGAAGTGTGTGTGAAATAGAGCAGAGACCTGTGGTTCTGAAAAAGACTAAGAGCACACTGTGTGCTGGGCAGCTGGGCTTACTTGGACCTCCTCTTTCACCAGCCCACTACTCCTGTCTTTCCCTCCTGCTCTTCCTGAACCTCACTGGCTGCCTACTGTGCCGCTTTCCTGTTGCCCTGGGCCCTGATTTAACAAGTGAAGCCACATCCAATGCCTTTGACTTTCTCTCTTCTTGTATTCAAGTCAGATTGAGGATCTGGCAGATGGTTCTGAGTTGCTGAGAACTGAATCCTTGTGGGTTTGGTGGGTACCAAGGTGTCGAGAATTTGGGGGGAAATACACAGCAGAGGTGGCAGTGCCTGGAACAAGTTGCTCACCTAAGAATTTAACTCAAATCAGTACAGGATTCAGCATCCACTATAGGCACTGTGGTAGGTATCAGTGAACAAAGGTGAGTAACAGATGGTTCCCATTTTTCAAGCACTGATGTTCTGAGAATTAGTGGGAAGGAAATCCAGGAGTGGCACCTGTTCAATCAGATTATTTCTTTGCTAACATACTAAACTTCTAGAAAAAAAGTTTGGACTTTGGGGGGAAAAAAGTAAAAGGCCCGGTTTATTACAACTCTGGCTGCTCATTAGAATCATCTAGGGGAGCTTTAAACAGTGGTTCTCAGGATCTAATGTGCACTGGCGTCCCCTCAGGCAGCTCAGCCCCAGTGTCTAAGAAAGGGCATTCCCAGAGCAGTTAACAAGCTGGGCTTCTATCACTTCTCAGGTGGGGAAGCTGCTGTGGGGTCTCACAGCCATACTTTGAGAACAACTTAAATTATAAGGTTTTCCGTCTTCCAGTCTCATCTAAGAAATGAACTCCAGCACCGATCATTGTTGGTACCTCGATTTTAATGTGTTCACATGGTTGAGAATCTATGTTCCACTGAATTGACTGCAGCTGGTTCCCTGAGGTTAGAGGATGTTTGGGATTCAACGAATGTACACGTTCCTTTGTGAGAATTCTAGAAATTCTACATTTTTTGAGGATATTAAGCCACTTATTAAGTGCTTTTAAAAACACCACTTTAAAAAGATTTTCCTTCACAATATCGGCATCACCCGCACATATACTGCCATATAAGTACCGCCCCTCTGGAGCATAAGATTTTCCTTCAAACTAATTTGGTTGCTTTGGTTTAGAAGGCCATTCTAACTCTGGCCTGGGTAGTTTTCAGTACTACAACAGAAAGATCACTCTATCACTCCGAGGTCCTCAGAGCCAAAGTGGTAAAGAAGTGGGGTCCATTAGAACCCCATCTGCAACCTCCTTAGGCTTGCCTAGCCCTTGCAGTGTCAACAAGTGAGCTGGGCATGCTCAGTGGGCAGGGTCGGTTTTGGGGGATACAGGTGGGAAGGCTGCAGAGCAACAGCCGGGGCTCTCCGGTCCCCCCACCTGTGCGAAGCTGGGTCCGGGGAGCCCTGCTCAGCATCGCACCCCCACCCCCGGTGCGGGGCTCGGTTCTCCCGGCAGGAGTCGGCGTTGACTCCCTGGCGGGGTCAGAGGGCCTGGCGCACTTCCAGGCGCGCGGGGTGGGCTGGTCTCGGGCGGCGCGGTCCCGGGGTCCGCTGGCTGGCTGGCAGACGCGTCCCTAGGCCCCGAGGCTGTCTACCGCCAGCGCCGCGACCGGGGAAGCCGCGGTGGGGCGGCCGCCAGGACATCAGGTAAGCCCGACACCTCCGCCGGCCTAGCTCGGCAGGGCCTCGAGAGTGTCGGCCCCGCGGCGGGGACGGGCGGCGCGCTGGAGTCCGCACCGCCGCGGGCACAGCACAAGCGCAGCTCGCGGCCGGGGCCTCCGTGGCGGGCCGCGCCCCGCGTCCCCGCGTGCCCTCGCTGGCTCGCGCCCCACAGCCCGCCCGCACTTCCGCGTTCCCTGGCTGGGCCGCGGGAGCCGAGCCGAGGCCCCGGAGACCCGAGCCGAGGCCCCGGAGACCCGCTGGGATCCGCCCCCGGGAGGAGGAGGAGGCGCGAGGGGCGGAGGAGGAGGCGCGAGGGGCGGAGGAGGCGCCGCGGGCGTCGGGCCGCCCTGCCGGGCTGCGCCGCGTGCGCGGGGCCGAGTCTGCGGGCCGCGGAGGCGCTTGCGCCTTGCGGAGGAGCCTGGTGTTGCTGTCCGCCCGCCGCCCTCGCGCGCGTGGTCCTCCCAGGTGTGTTTGCCGCGCCAGCCCGGCCCCATGTGGGGACTCGAGCGGGGAGCGGTCCCTTTGGGCCGGGCGAGGCTTCTGGGGCTCCGGGGGTGCGGTAGGTGCCCGTGGTGGCGGGAAACGGGGGAAGGATTTGAGAATTTTTTCACCCACGGAAGGTGGACGTGTGCTTCGTAGGGTTTAGCTGTGGACGTTGTGGGCAGCCCTGGCGGGTCGTGCGTGTTTGTAAGTCGCCGAGGAAAGCGGCAGGACTTTGGGGGAAAGGGTTTGTATCTCAGTGAAAGTTGATGCAAACTTTGAGTTTGTGAAAGTGATAATCTGAGGAGGCGGACTGTTGGTCCTTTCTGGAGCTGGAGTGGGGACCATTCTGGAAGGGGACAGAGACTTTGAGAAACTCTGCTGCCTGGGTGTGACCTGGCTTTGGCCTGGGAAGAAATGGAAGGTGTACACTGATGAACTGCAGACAGCCTCTCCCTCCTCGTAGTAACATCTAGCAGCACAAATAGATTTGCAGAGAGTGTCTTGGCAGGAAGGTGCTGCTAGATTAAAGAAGACTTGGTCTTCTCTTCTTTTCTCTTCTCTTCCCTCTTCTCTCTCTCTCTGTCTCTCTCTCTCTCTCTCTCTGGTCTAGCCATCCTCCTGTCTCAGTCTCCCAAGTGCTGAACTGCAGGTGCGCCACCACACCTGGCCTGGGGATGTGTGGGTCTTACTGGTCTCTAGACAGTCTTGCACCATGTGCAGAGGAGTGTTCACCAGGGGCACAGCCTTCCTAAAGAGTTCCAGAGAAACTCAGATTCTCACAGTGTTGGTGAGAGGGACGACTCAAATGACAGGACACATTATAAATATCCTAAGAGGCAGCTATAGAAATAGCTAATTAGCTAGTTTACTCAACTTGTATAAATAGGGTGTGGAAAGGAAGTAAGCTACGCTGAGCACTTATTGCTTAAAACAAAACTGTTAGTATTTCATATATGTTCCAGGTTTATGAAATGAAGAGTTTCTTTTTGCAGTGTGGAGGGTAATGGTGAGACTCGTGCCGGGACCAGGAACTTCCTGGCTTTAGTCTCCAAGTCGCACAGCCCTTGCAGGCCATCATATGAGAACTGGATGTCATTGCCCAATAGGTGCTTGTGTGCAAGCTGCAGAACCTTATGATGTGGGTGTCGAAATGCCCTAGTGTTTCTCAGGGGCGTTATGTCAAGCTGCAGCACTCCCTGGATCTTAATAGCAATAACAGCAAAAAAAAAAAAAAAAAAAAAAAGAAATCTCTTGAAAGTAGCATAGCAGTGCCTTTGAGTATAATGGATAAAGAGGTAACATTTTGGAGCCACGTTCTGTCACATGCCCATTAGGCTGAGACAGGAGGGTCACCTCAAGTTCAAAACCAGCCTGGTATACATAATGAGTTCAAGGCTAACCTGAACTATAATAGTGAGACTTCACTCTCAAAAAACCCAAAAACGTGATTTGTAGGAAGATGTCTGGAACTAGAAACAGTATTGCCAACATGCACTAATTTTTAAAAAGCCAATTCAGTCATGTGCTTTCAAAATTGACCTTACTGTGCAAACGTACATGAGAAATTTTCAATAAAATTTGATACGTGTCTTAATATTTTTCCCTATGTCTCTAATGTTTTATACACTTGCTTACACTTAGTCTTAAACATCTAACTTCATTCTTGTCACTTTTCACAAACTTGCTTGAAAACATGTTGGAAGGCTTGCTCTTTCCTGTCCTTTGTGACATGGGAGTTTGTTTTCTCCTGAAGTATTGGAAAAGCCACTAACCATTAGCATTGCCCGCCTTCCGACTGTCTTCAGGATTTCTGTTTGCAGGTAGGAGTAGTGAATGGAAGTAAACTAAAAAGGTATTATCAAAGTGTTTTTAGTTGCTCATCACAATACTTAGTTAATTCTATTAAGTATTGAAAGTGATGCTTTAGGGGAAGAAGAAAAAAAAGAAATATGTTGCTTTTTCAGGATTGCTGGCATGATGGATAAAAGAAATGTGTGAGGGAGAGATGATCAAGTTTAACTCCAAGTTAAAAAGACCAAGGCCAGTGCAGCTGGGAGCCAGGAAGTCTAACAACTGTAAGATAGACCTCTTCCTGTGATGTATGACCAAGGCTCTCAGAATAACTGAGGCAAGAGAGGCAAGTGGTTTGAGTACTTGGGGATATTTCCGTAATTGTTGTGGTTAAGAGTTTGGCCAGAGTTCTAATTCCTGTCCTGGATATGTAACTATTTTTTGTTTGTTTGTTTTCCATGATTTTCATCTTTTGTTGGAGGTTCTTGATTGGCATGTATAACATATTTGTGCTGTCTCATTTTTTGAGTGACAGGTTTGAGTTGCTTCTTTCAAAATCTGATTTGGGTAGCAGATTTTAATTAGGTTAATTGTTGCTTCTATTAGTTCACTAACATTAATTGGAGGAATTGGTTAATTGAAGATTTCTCTCTCCCAACTAAAAATTTATCAGGTCATGTTGTGATACTGTTTTTTTTTATTGTGTTAGGTAAGTGCTCTACATTAAACTACATTACCAGCTTCATTGTGATATAATTAAAAGCATATCTTCATACCTTTTTCTCACAAGACTTCTAATACCCTTGGAATCCTGGAGTGATGAGTGAAATTTTGGATAGTAATAAAATTACAGGACTTTTGGTGGGTTACTACATAGTTTCAGGATGGAGCTGCTTGACCAAGGCACTATGATGTGTTTAGAAAATTGGAATTTGGACCTATCATTCACTTTTGGGGTGAGTAGAGAGCCAGTGACTACAGAAATCATATGTATATATAGAGAGAAATCTTTCTAAAACCCCTAAAGCAGTGATGGTGATCCTATGGCACTTGTGACTCACTGGGCACATGTTGCACCAAGTTGCCCCAGCAATGCTCAAGCAGCTGAGCATTCAAGTTTAATTAGCAGCATATAACTGTGATCGCAACACTCAGGAGGCTAAGGCAGGAGGATTGCTGAGAGTTCAAGGCTAGTGAGACTGTGTTTAAAAATTTTTGAAAAACTTTAATTGCAGTGTGGGCAGTTTGTGATAAATAAGTAGGTTTTGGGTTGCAGTTTGGGCACTTGATCTCTAAAAGACTTGCATCTTTGCCCCAAAGTGTGTACTTCGGAAACCTTCTGAATTGTTGAGCAGACATAGAAGTGCTAGAACAATCCTAGGAAGGCAGGAAAGCATCTCACCATTGCCACACCTTGCTCTGTGCTTCCCCTGGCTGTGTGTTTGTATCCTGTATACTGTGTTTATTATTGGAGTACTGGGGACCTGGCCAAGATCCCCTGTCTCCCAAATGAGTGTATGGAGAAGGCTTAAATAAATGAGACACGTGGTATTATTTTAGGGCTCCAGGAGGATCAAAACCCTCTAGCAGAGTTTGAGACTCCAGAAGCTGAGACAAGCCCATGTTTATTAGGTTTTCAAACAAAGAGAAGGAATACTGAGGAAAGTGCGAGAAATGAGCAGGTCTTTGGGAATCACTTCAAAGACTTCTCCAAGTAGTAAATTATGCCAATTTAGGAGAACGATCTTATCTCCAGGATGACGTTTATGCTGAGTGTGAGACAGCAGGAGGGACTTGCTTGCAGCTGCAATCTTTATCTACTTAATTGGTGTTGGAGCCAGGTGTCCTCAGCTGTGGCCTTATCTTGCCCTTTTGAGGTATCTCTGGCATCATAGGCCACATAGGTCCAGCCTCAGCCAGGGCCAGTGATTCATAGAGGTTCACTTACTATGAATCAGCTCCCATTGGCACACCAAGGGCCTAGGACAGACTCACAGATAAACGCAGAAAGTCAATTAGTTAATTTTAAATCCCACTCAGAGCCGCTTCGTAGTGGTCTCCAACATAAAGGTACACGTAAATAAAGTGTTGTCTGAAGTGTTAGGGAGCAGTTTTGTGGGATTGAGCCTTAGCAGCTAGTCGCAGAATTTAAATAAATTTTAGGATACCTGTTTTTCGTCCTCAGAGAATTGGAGAATTGCTTGATGAAGAAAACTTACAATTTTGGAATTAGAGATGTTATGAGTCAAGAAGAACTGTTTTCCTTTATGTATTGACACTGTTTTAAGGTAGTGGTTGCAAGCATCTTTAATAATTTTGGCAAATGAAATAATGTTGTATTTTCAAAAGTGAGATACTGCTGTAGTTTTTAAAAAAGTAATAGACTTTACTTATTGCATATAGTTTCTGAGTTTCAGGAACATGGGTGTTTTTGGCTCAGGGCTCTACTGGGGAAGGCTTAAGCCTGGCTGTCAGCAGGGCCATAGTCTTTGAAGATTTGCCCAGAGCTGGAGGGTCTGCTTCTAAGTTTGTTCACATGGCGGCTGGCAAATGGCCTCAGTCATTCATCACACAGACTTCTACCGAAGGCTGCTCAGACAAGGGTTCCCCCAGTGAGGCACAGGAAGAGGGAATTGGCTTCGTGTTTTTCCTGTCTGTACCTGCATGGCTTCCCAGTGTGGGTTTTTTTGTGTGTGTGTGTTTATTGTTTTATTTTGTTTTTTTGAGACAGCCTTGCTGTGGAGCCCAGGCTGGTCTTGAACCTCCAGATCTTGCCTCAGCATCATGAGTGCTGGGATTGCAGGTATAAGCCACCAATCTTGTGGGTAATTTTTGAACAATGCTTAATTTACATTTTTCAAGTTTTTAGTTCTATTTTTTTTAACCTTTTTATTCTTCAAATAATGTCTTTTGTGGAATGTTATATTTGATTACCCACATAATTCTGTGAAAGGTTTTTTTAGTCAGGAGAGGGAAAAGAACCTCATAAAATATAACTGAGAGACTATTTTTAATTTTTTTATGGCCTTAATTTGTATGTTTTTATTAATGCATTTGCAATACTTAATGTTTACATTCCTCATGAGGAGTTGGTGCTTGGATAGAATACATCTTAATTCTTTTTTTTTTTTTTTTTTTTTTTTTTTGTCTTTTTTGTTTTTATCGGTACCAGGGATTGAACTCACGACTGCCTGCTTACAAGGCAGGCGCTTATGCCGCTGAGCTAAATCCCCAGCCCCTTAATTCTTTTTTTTTTCTATTCCCTTTGCTCTCTTCCCCTTATCATTTTTATTTTTTATTATTTATTTTATTTTATTTTTTTGGTACTGGGGATCAAACTCATGACTTAGTACTTGGCAGGTAGGTGCTTATGCCACTCTTCATGTTTTTTAAAAAAATTTATTTTATTGGTAGGTTTTAGATATATGTATATATACATAGCAGTAACATTCATCACAGAGAATTTGTTCCTGAGATTGGTGTTTGTTGCTGCTTCTTTTTTTCCTGTTCGCCTCCCCTCCTTTGACTATTGTGTTTTAGACTTTACTGGGACAAGGTCTCACTTTGTAGTCCAGGTTGGCCCCAGACTCTTGATCTCCTGCCTTAGCCTCCAGAATGTTAGGATTACAGATGTGTGCCATCAAGTCTGGCTCAAGGCTGTTTTCTGAAAATGGAATTACTAGAAACTGCTACTATCAAATGGGACAGCCGCTGAGTACGTAGGGCTTAGTGACTTGAGTGACACATGCTTTACTACTTATATGTGTTGGTGACCACTTTAGGGAACTTTAGGTGTTCATACACATAGGAGGAAAACATGTTTATGTTCATTGTAAATATTTTTGGAAAGCTTTGGTAAAGATTTTATGTCATTATTTCAATATAACACAGTAAGTCTCTAAATGTAAGCTTCAGAAATGTGTTTCAGATGTATGAGAACAATGCAGTTTGTGCACTAGGTTCTTAAAAAGTTGTTTTTCTTTTATTTAAACTGAATAAAGAAAGGATGTTTTGTTTCACTGTGGTAAGGTCAAGACTGCTTTGATCTTGTTCCCCTCAGCTCCACCCTTCCAGGAGTTATTCTGCCCTGCAGGGTGAGGTCCAAGGGTCTGTCTGGAGACACTGGGATTTTGCCTTCCTGCCCCAGACTTTGCCCCTTCTCTTCTCTGGGATGCACCAAACTAGCACATTTCTTACTTCGCACTGTACCCCCAAAACCCCACCCATGCTCTTCCTTCAGCCTTACCTGCCTTCCCAGTCCAGAGGCTTTCCCTCCCAGCCCTGGTAAGTTTACAGTATTTCCTAACCCTTCAACTGCTCTTTTGATGTTACTCCTGAGTCTCATTCATATATATAGATATATATATATATTTGAAAACATCATTTCTTTCAAGAAGAGGCTGGTTCTTACACAGTTTTAAAGACCTCACATGCCTATCTCTGGTGCATTGCAAATGAATGATACTTAGTAAATAGTTGCAGGTAATTTCCTTCTCAGGTACTCATCACTGATTGTATAACAGATAATATGCAAATACTATAGATATATTTCAGATAATGTTTTACTATAGATGTATTTCACATAGTCTATCTGTGTATACCAGATGTTGGGGTACCTCTTTTTAGAACTTCCTTTTTTCCTTATATATTTGGAAGTTTTAATACTTATTTATCTATTTTGTAGTACTGGGAGTTGAACCCAGAACCTTTGTACTGACTACATCTCCAGCCCCTTTTAGTTTTGTTTTTTATTTTGAGACAGGATTTTAACTAAATCACTAAGTGGCCCAGGCTGGGTTAAAATTTTAATCCTCGGTCTCAGCCTTCCAGAGTGTTGGGATTAGAGAGGTGTGCCACCATACCTAGCTAGTTTTAGTATTTAAAGTATATTATGCAAATGAATTGGCATAAAAGCAAACCCTGAAGAAAATCAGTGAAGAAATCTACAAATGAGGAAGTCATTACATATTCATCAGCTAGGCTTCCAAAGTCTCCCTTCCAACCCACCTACACAAAGAATCTGGGTGATTAATTTAACCAGGGCCACTGATAATTTATCTTGTTACTTTTATCAAACAGAGGTGCATGCTAAATGAACAAAACACTGGGGCTATTTATGTGGGCTGGATCAAGGGAGACTTTGGATAGCAGCATTTACCTCTGGGCTGCTCTGAAGTCACATGATGGTCTCTGCCTTCTAGTTTTCTTCTCTGTAAAACCAGGTGACTGGAATACATGAACTTAATGTACATAAAACGAATGAGGTATTTTATTACCTTTTTTTCTGAGAAAAAAGAGGAAGAGAATCTTAACTGGGCTTGGTTCACCTTTGGAGCCTGGCTAGTT